GGCAAGTGCTCTCGAACCGAGCAGGGGGAAATTGTTTCCAAGCGGGGACGCACGGGCTATTTTCCCTCTGATCCACTTGCTCCGAAATCAACCTCTCTATTGTCGGCCCCCGTTAATGAGGTGGCCGACCGCCTCGAGGGCGCCCTTCTCGAGGATGATCTCAAGAAGCCTGGCGTCACGCTGCCCGAGATTGGCGACAAACTCGTGCAGTGGTTTGCTCAGGTATTACTCCTCTAACTCTACTCTGGCTCTTCTCCTTTTCCTTTGTTGATTTATGCGTTGAATGGCCTTTGTCTTTTTTGTTGATAGGGCTTGGTCGATTTTCTGCCATTGGCCAAGGAAGCTCGGGACAGCTCGGGCAAGTCGATCAAGGCTCTCGAGAACACTGTTGGCTATCTGCAGGACAAAAGTTCGACCCTCCTGCAGCATAATGCCAAACTCCGCGAGACGCAGACGGAACAGAAAACTGAGTTCGACGTCAAGATTAAATCTCTCGACGAAGAACTTAGTAAAAAAGAAAAGGCTCTCGCTGAGAGAGATACCACTCTCGCTGCCAAGGAGGCTGCCGTGGCGGAGAAGGAGGCCGCCATAAAGGAGAAAGAAGCCGTGCTCGAGCAAGAGCGGGTTGCTCGAGCTGAGGCGGAGAAAGCTCGAGCTGATGCCGAGAAGGCTCGGGCGGAGGCAGAAAAGGCTCAGGCTGAAGCAGAGAGAGCTCGGGCTGAGATGGAGGCCACCTTGGCCAAAGAAAGGGCTGCCCATGCTGGGGATAAACAAAGATATGCAAATGCCACTGCTCTTCGATCTCGGCAGATGCTTTGGGCGACGACCACTGGGCAGCTTTTCCTCCGCAAACATCGTGCGCAAGTGGTGGCTGACTTCATGCAGTCACCACAATATTTAAAGGAGTTGCAAGATTTCGGGGTAGACTGCTTTCAGTTTGCCCTGCAAAAGGCCGGGGAGCAGATTGCTGAAGATGATTTCGAGCAGCTCGACCCCTTGGCTATTTGGGATGCTTTGCCCAAGGTACCCTCGAGCTTCTGCGGGGACCCTTCTGTTAGAGGTATGCTGTAAAAGCTGTGTTTTGCAGTTTCTATCAATTCCATTT